ATCATTTTAATTCAATATTGACACCTCAACATCTCGCTATAATGCGGACGGGTCCAATCGAAACCTCTGTTTTATAGCAGTAGAGGAACGAACTCGTAAAATCCTAACGGCTTTTATGTAGTGCGGTATAAACAACAACAACATCCTCGGCTTTATGGCATTTTATAGTTTGTTAAACAGTTTACAGCCTTTTTTGGGGCTATTACAAATGCAATTCCCTTCATGTGATAGTTAAACCTTTATCAATAATAAGGAAATTGATCATTAAAATGTTAAATATGACTACCTCGTTTGTTTTAAAATATGTTTAGGGTAAGAAGCTGTATGATTTGATAACTTGTATTAAAATACCAATTACATTTATAGGACCTTTTAAAACTGGTAGCAATTAAATCGTGTTCTTTTACAGTTTTCCAAAGCGACCCTGACATTTAAAAAGGCTAAAACTGCCTCGTTAAAATTTTGAAATTAACGACTGAGAGCGCTTCTCTTTAATTTTCCAACACTCCCCAAAAATCAATCTTTTGGGTGGTCTAGGTATGTGATTTGTTGTGAGGCGCGAGATATCTCATTAATGTAGGTAGTTAAACATATTTAATCCGTATATTCACCCCACCTCCTTCTCCCTCTCTCTCTCGCTCCCTCTCTCTCTCTCGCTCTCTCTCTCTCGCTCTCTCGCTCCCCCTCGCTTGCTTTTCCTTCTTTATTCTCTCACATTCTTCCTTTCACAATCATGCAGTGCAGAGTCCGTGTGGAGTAAGGAGAAGCCAATAGGATGAGGTTTTGGTAATAGATGCAAATGATCATGAAAAGACACTGCAAAATATGAAACAACTCATTTGCGCTGAAGTAAATCACTGAAAACTGTTTATGAACTGGCATCTCTTCTTGGAAATGTAAAGCGAGAACTCTTTAAGTGGCGATTTTTTTTTTTTTTTTAGGGGTGGGGGGGAGGAAAGAATTCAGTATCATGCAGGCTTAGAGTTTTGATTATATCCTCCTTTTATATTCCTGGAAATCACAAACTGTCGTTGCTTAGCATCTTAGAGCTTTCTTTTTTTGCTAATAGATTCTCACGGTCTGGTTCGCTTGGCTTCTTTTTTTTTTTTTTTTTTTTCCTCTTCTCCAAAAAGACCAAATATTATTATTTAAATTAAAATGAGCTCTTACTTCGTCAACTCACTCTTCTCTAAATACAAAACCGGGGACTCCTTGCGTCCCAACTACTATGACTGCGGGTTCGCCCAGGAGCTCGGGGGCAGACCCACGGTGGTGTACGGACCCAGCGCGGGGGGCACCTTCCAGCACCCCCCCCAGATCCAGGAATTTTACCACGGTGCCTCCTCGCTCTCCAGCTCCCCTTACCAACAGAATCCCTGCGCCGTGGCTTGCCATGGCGACCCCGGCAACTTCTACGGCTACGAGCCCTTGCAAAGGCAGAGCCTCTTCGCCGCCCAGGACTCGGAGCTGGTGCAGTACACGGACTGCAAGCTGGCGGCCGGCGGCCTCGGCGAGGAGGCGGAGAGCGCGGAGCAGAGCCCGTCGCCCACCCAGCTCTTCCCCTGGATGCGACCGCAAGGTGAGGCGAGATGGGAAGCACAGCGAGGAGGCTTTTCCTACGAGCCCGTCGAGCAGCCCCGCTTTCCCCTCGGCCGGCTGGGCGGCTCTCTGGCTGCTTGCCGTGCCCGCTTGCTCGCTTTGCCCTCTTTTTCTTCCCCCCGCTGCCCGGGTTTTACTGCTTTATGGGGGTAAACTTTTGCACTTGTAAATTGCTTTATAGTTTAATTACCCTGAAGGAGCCCTTTTCTTCTGGGGGCTGAGTGCACTGGGCTTTCTGTGGAAGGAAGCGTCCTTAAAGTTTATGGCACTTTTACAGCCTTAAAAAAAAAAAAAAAAAAAAAAAAAAGCTACTGAGTTCGCGCTCTTTTTTTTTTTTTTTTTTTCTCCTTCTCTTTTTTTTTCTTTCCCATGGCAGCGGCTGGGAGCCCGGCGAGCCCCAGCCCTGCTGCTGTTGTTGCGGTGGTGCTAAGCGTGCAAGAGGAGCGTGGGGCTGGCGGAGCTGCCGCTCGCAGGGGGCTCCAGGGTGGCCCCGAGCCCCCCCCMCACACCTCCTCCGCCACCATCACCCCTTTCCTCCAGCACCATCTTCCCCTCCATAATATTACAGAGGAGCTTTTCCGTGTCCCTGCTCGCTTCCTGCCTTCGCCTGGGCGAGCCCTTTCTTCCTCCCCCTCCCGGGTGCGTGTGTGTGTGTGTCTGTGTGTCCCGGTGTCTATCCCCGAGCCTGGTTTATGTATCTTTCAACCTCCTTCTCTTCTTCCCCTCTTGCACCCAACCTTCGCAATTCCCCAGCAGCCGCTGGACGGAGGAGGGGGAGGCAAACCTACAGCCGCTACCAGACGCTGGAACTGGAGAAGGAATTTCTATTTAATCCCTACCTGACCCGCAAACGGAGGATCGAGGTCTCGCATGCCCTGGGATTGACAGAAAGGCAGGTCAAAATCTGGTTCCAGAACAGGAGGATGAAATGGAAAAAGGAAAACAACAAAGACAAGTTTCCCAGCAGCAAATGCGAGCAGGAAGAACTGGAAAAACAGAAAATGGAAAGAGCCCAGGAGGTGGACGAGGAAGGGGAAGCACAGAAGGCAGACAAGAAATAAAAGGATTTTTAAGGACTGAAAGGCAAGCGCTGCTGGGGTGGAAGAGCCCCCGACTCCCTCATTAATGGCAGTTAATGTAAGGGAAGGGTGGGAAAAAAACAACAATGCATAGAAAAGAGGGGGGAAAAAAGAAAACTTTTATTGCTGTAAAACAATATAGCTGTAAGCACCACTTTCCTGATTATCCTTTGATACAATGAACAGTATGCAAAAGTGATGTGGAGGTCTCTCCAGCCTTTTGCCAGTTATTAACTAGTGGTAGTGTAACGCAATAGCTTATGTAAAACATGACTGTGAAATTTTCTCTCTCTCTCTGTCTCTCTCTTTTTCCTGGGGGGTGGGTTGTTAACATAGCTTTCAATGCTATAAGAGTTACGTGAAATTACATTTGTGCACTTTTTTTTTTTTTAATTTCACACTTTTTGTTGTTGTTGTTTATCTGTATGTACTGGAGGTAGCTATTGAAACAAACATCCCAACAACATGAAACTGCCTATTTATGCTGTAGTTATCTCTCTCTCTCCCTCCCTCTCTCTTTTTACTTTCCTTCTTTTGTTTGGTTCGGATTTTTTTATTTGTTTGTTTGTTTACAATTTTTAAGTGTCTCTTCCCAAAAAAAAATCAAAAATGGAAAAAAAAAAAGAAAAAAAAAGAGTTTTCTCTCCTTTAGTTAGCATGCGCACAGTGAAGCAAGTTGTAAAGTGATCTTTAGGTTAACTGTGAAAAAGAATGTATACTGTATACGTGAATTACTTTATTGGGGGAACTAATGATATATTTTGTTGTTCTTTCATCACTTTGTTCTATTGTCTAAACCTGGAAGCGGCGGAAGAAAGTTACAATAAAGTTTACAAGCGAGAATTCCGTGACATCATTCTTTTCGCCTGCTTCATTTCCTCCAGGACCACTTTGATAGAAAGGAAATAAAAGTCAATTGTGTCGGAGGGGCAGCCGCGGCCATCAAAGCCCTCCTGGCCTGCAGAGATGCTGGCGAGCCGGAGCGCTGCTGGGACGGGCAGGGGCTGGGGTCGGGGAGGGGGCCAGGGCCGCGCCGATGGCTTCTCCTCTCCTTGTCCTTGCTAACACTTCATGTGTGGTGACAGGTTGGGAGGCTGTGTGGAGGTCCTGCCTGAAGGTAATCGCTGTTTTTCTCTTCTTTCTGCCTTGTCTTCCCTCCCCTGTCGCCTCTCTCASCCCACCTCCCCCGCGGGATGCAGCCCAGGTCTGGGTCACTCTGCTGCCCTCGCTCGGGTCGCGCTGCGAAACCGTCCCCGCGCAGCTGAGCTGCTTCCTGCTCCTTCCATGGAGCTCTGGCAGGGAGGAGAGCGTGTGAGGGGATGCACACACGTCCCCTTGCAACATAACCTTGGGAGAGGAGAAGCAGGGCAAGCGCTAGATGCAAATCCACCATTGTCTGGGCTGCTTTTCCTGAGCTACTTTCTTTTCTTTACTTTTTTTCCCCCCTATTCTTCCTTTTCCTTAAAAAATAAATTAAAAAAAAATAATAAGAGGCAGATCACATTTGGGAAGGTCTCTGCTTCCCCAGCAGAAAGCAAAGCAGCCAGCTGGTAACGTTTTACTTATAACTGTAATTGACTCCTGCGGAACCGCTGACACGCTGAACAAGGGATCTGTACAGCCTTTATTTTTCGCAACAAGAAAAGCAAATGCCAGCTCAATAAGCAGCTCGAAGCCTGTGGCACTAGAATAAATTAGGTATAGAGCTGAATGGCATTTAAGGGGAGGAAAAAAAAAAAAAAAAAGCAAAAGAGAGAGACCTTGGAAGTATTAGGGCTCAATGAGACATTTGTCTTTTGGGGGTGGCCACGGAGGCAGAGGGGGTAAAGAAGGGGGAGGGGGGACAGTCTCGTGAAAAATAAAGTGTCTCGGAGCCAGGAAAATGGTGCAAAGGAGGGAATTTTAGACGGGATCTATAAGAGGATAAATAGGGCTCCGCTCCCGTCTTTCCTCCAGCAGAGAGAGACCGAGAGGGAGGCACCGGCTCGGCAGCAAAGTGCTTTCTACCACCCCCCCACCCCCCCGCTGCAACTTCTTTCTTTTTCTCCCTCGGTCTCAACTGAAAACTGATTACAGGTTGCTTATCGACTCCAGCACAATTTCACCCCTTCCAGCATAGATCGTGGAGGGTTTTATATCGCATCAATTATTTATCATATTTTATAAATCCAGCAGCACTACAATTTTTTGCCCCCGAGGAGGGAGCGGCCGGCGATTGGCGCCGCCGGAGCCACGTGCCCGCGCGTCACATGGGCCGGGAGGAAAAAGGGTCCTTTTTGGTGTAAATCTGGACTCTAATTCCGTAATATATCACGGTACCTCGTAAAACCGACACTAAAACGTCCCGACCTACAAATCACCCGGCCAAATTATGAGTTCATTGTATTATGCGAATGCTTTATTTTCTAAATATCAAGCCGCAAGTTCGGTTTTCCCATCCGGAGTCTTTCCTGAGCAAACTTCTTGCGCTTTCGCCTCCAACACGCAGCGAGCGGGCTATGGGGCCGGATCCACGCCTCCCTTCGCCGCCTCCATGCCCGGGCTCTACTCGAGCGGCAGCGCCGTGCACCCCCAGCCCCCCAGCATGTACTCGTCCGGCTACGGCCTGGAGCCCGGCTCCTTCAACATGCACTGTTCCCCCTTTGAGCAAAACCTCTCCATGATGTGCCCGGCAGATGCCTCCAAGCAGAACTGCAACAAAACGGACCAGAGGGACTCCGATTTGCAAAGCGACAGCAACTTCCGGATCTACCCCTGGATGCGGAGCACAGGTAAGAAACGAGCCCACCCGGGGGGTGTAAATTATCGCATGGTGCGGGGGGGGGGAGGGGGGGGGGGGGGGAGGTGTCCCCAACTCCTTGCATGACGTTTCAGCCAAAACGCATCTCTCAAAAGAGACGGAGGGAGAGCGAGCCCCCCACCCTAAAGCTACCTTTGGGCTTTAAATATTTATTAGTGGTGCCGGGGCTGTGGATGTGCCTCGCAAAAGGCAGTTTGTCTCAAGGGGGACGGGCAGAGCTGCAGAAATAATGGCCATCCCCTTCTCCTCCTGCATTTGCAGGATGAAGGTTGTGCGAGCCTCATGTATATACAGATATAGATTCTCAAAGAAACTATTTATGGGAGGCGCTTGCAAGCTCGGTTTGTTTTCTGTTAGATTACAAAGCCTTCATTTGCCAGCCCCTCACCACAACGTCCCGGAGACTGCAATTAAGCATAGCGTGTTGCCATCACAAGCAGCAACACATCATTCCTTGTGCAATTAAAAGCCACTGCTTTTCCAAACGGTGACATTTCGGCCCGCATCCGGATGTATAGATGTATACATAGGGACTGCAAGCGGGGAGCTAGGGTTTATATATGCGACCCCCTCTCATTCCGCCCCGCCTTCCCCAAAAAATAGGAGCTGGGCTGCCCGGGAGGGACTCGATCTCCGTTGCAGGCTGGACGAGGCTTTCGGGGGACAGCTCCGCGGGCCCGCTTTGGGGGGGTCTCATCTCCCGAAAGTTGTTGCCTGTCAGTGCTGTCCCCCTTGCGCGGATCCCCCGGGAGCTGCCGTCTCGCACGTGTGTTCGGAGCCCGAGCCCGCTTAAAGCCGCTGCTTCCCCGGCAGCCTCCACATCGCTCCGTCCCGGGAATTAATTCCCGTTTCATAAACACCCATTTCCCTCACATGAGAGCGAGGGTCGCGTGTCGCGGTGCCCCCCGCCCCAGTCAGGCTGCAAGGGGTGGAGCTTCCCCAGGGTCGGGGCCTGCTCGACACCCCCCCATCCCCCCCGGGCCCCGGCACTGGCCACCCCCGAGTCTTCATGTTCCTGGTCCTGGAAAAGGGGGAGCAAAAAAAGCACTGCTGTCCCACTGAGAGAGAGAGCGCCGTGTGAGCCTCCGCCTGCAGCACTCTGAGCTTTGCCAGCTCGCAATTTGAGCACATCCCTGCCAGCGAGCCTCACTTGGCAGCAGGATTTGGGAAAAGTGTTTTGTTAGTAAACTTCGGGGGCAAGCGGAGTGCGGGCCAGCCTCCCTGCAAAGCATGAGCGAAAGAAAACAGCAGAGCAGCCAATGCAGAGCAGCTCACAGAACTAGAGTTACCCTCGCGCTTATTTGGTGGTCAGTACTTTCCATTACCTGCTCCATAATTCATTTCCTTTTACAGTTGATTTATCAAAGACCAAATATTTCTGCTCGTAAACACTTCATCTCTGCTTTTATCTGACTTCAGATTTAAGAACACCCCCCTCCGTAAACCCCTTTCAGCATGTGACGCTGCGAGTACCAACATTAGAGAGGCTCCTGGAGCAGGGCATGAGCTCTCAGAGCCGCATATTGAGGCTGGACTGCGCCTAAAAGCAGCGAGAGTCCGGCCCAGGCATCCAGGCCGGGCCTGCGCCCCCCCTTTCCACCCCTCCTGCCCCTCACAGCCACTGTTTAATTGCGGAATTTCATCAGGGAGCAGAGATAGAGTTGTCATCCCTATTCACCAGCAGTTTATGGCTCTCCCCTCAGCGGATTTTACAACCCGCATTCCACGACCTGCACATTTCTACTTTACAGCTAGCCTGGCTATTTTGCTTTTCCCCCCACCCCACTCCTTTTAATGACTGGATCTTTTCTTCTGGTGGAAAGAAAGAAAAAAAAAAAAAAAAAAAAAAAAAAGAAAGGGAAAAAAAAGAGTGGAGGCTGAAGAAGATGAGTCCAGTGGAATGTGTGGAGGAGAGGCCGAGGGCTGCTGCTCGCCATCCACATCGCCTGGAAAGGAGGTGTTAGACTAGAGAGACACATTTAGCCTTTACTGGAAAAGCTATCCAGAGACACAAACACCATATTGTACCGTTATTTCCCATTGGACTCCAGGAATTATCGGGGGGTAGAGATGGGGGGGGTGAATTAGGAGCTGGGCCCTTTCTAACGCCTGCTGCAAGGCCGCTGGAGAGTTAGGAGAACCTCGCGGGGCTTGGGGCATTGTCCCGCTCCTGCAGAGCCCGGCGGAGCAGGAACCACCGCTGTGCATTCCCCTAAATAATCAGGAACATCACACACCTTCCAAGCAGGCTTCTCGATGACAGCTTTAAGAGAGGACAAATAGTTGGATTTGTGTAGGCAACAGCTGCCTCGCTCGCTTCATTTTATTTATGTATTAATTTCCCAAGCACCCGAAAATTGAAATGAAAATCTCAGCGCGGGCGCAGCGGCTCGAGAATGTGGCGGGGGCAGAAACTCCGAGAAGTTTCGCGGCCCGCGGCCCGCGGGAGGGACGCGGAGAGACGCGCGGAAAAGCCCCGCATGCTCCTCCGACGTGAAGTTAGAATGGGCGATGGGCCAAATAGGCTATAAGCAGCGAGGGGGACATAGGGAAACAATATAGAACGAAGATTAGATCTTAAAAATGTGAAGAACCTGCTCTGAACTCCCCTGGGTTCCCCAACTCGTTTGGAGTTGGCTCTGAGCTGCGCACTGTGTAGGCATTAGGTAGAGAGAACCCTCCCCAAGACCAAAAGCAAAGGGAAAGAGAAGCCCCAAGAGCCTCCTAACCCCCCAGCTCAGCTGCATCCAACCTTGTTCCGCAGGCACGGACAGAAAACGGGGCCGCCAGACCTACACCCGCTACCAGACGCTGGAGCTGGAGAAGGAGTTTCACTACAACCGCTACCTGACCCGGCGGCGCCGCATCGAGATCGCGCACTCGCTCTGCCTCACCGAGCGCCAGATCAAGATCTGGTTCCAGAACCGGCGCATGAAGTGGAAAAAGGAGAACAAAACGGCCTGCTCGGGCTCCGGCACTCAGGAAAAGGCAGACGCGGAGGACGACGAAGAGGAATGAAAGGGCCAGGGGAGCTGCTGCTCGAAAACGTGAAGCCAGGAAATGTGGAAAACAAAAATATTAAAAAAAAAAAAGAAAAAACAAAAATATTAAAAAAAAAAAAGACAAAAAGAAAATGGTGGAAAAAAGACACATCAAAAGACTATATATGAAAATAGATAAAAGATAAGTGCGTAAATAATGAAAAACCTTAGGAATTATGCTTTCTGTTTCCTGACACTGAAAAATACTACCTATATTAATTTTTTTTTTTTGTACAATAGAATGAATATCTACCTATTAAATGTGGCTTTAGAGTCAGAATAGACACATTTTTCTATGTGGGTCTTCCTATAGTAAAAGTTATTTGTAAATCTCCGTTTGTACTTCACCGTGTACTTTTTGGTATGAAGTAACGTGGTCGTGTTTAGCACCTTTAATTTAGAAAATGTGATCTGAAAGTCAGAATGCAAATTATACTTAGCGTATATAATCCTGTACATAATATGAATGATTATTACGCCTTCACCCTGTAGTCTCCGTGGTTCTTTTCTCGTCGCTATGCTGTTTTGTCTGTGCATATTTTTACTTGGATCACTTCTTTGTTCAAGACTCTAGGGAAAAAAGAAAGAAAAATGAATTAATATTGTGCTACGTAAAATGTTGTATATCGAAGTAGCAAATTATTTAATGCCGCCGCGTTGCTTTTTTTTTTTCCGTCTGTGATTATTATTCTTCGAAATAAAAAAGAAAATCTCCGATATTATGAGTTGTGTTCTTTCGTCTTCTCTTAAAAAAGGTTGTATATACATATTGAAGATCCTTTTATATAAAAAGAGACCCCGATGTATCACTGTAAAGGCCTTTTTATTTATTTATTTTAGCGTAGCCAATGTCTTCAACATTCAGTACCTTTTTAATAGATATGGTGAATACTCCGAAAGAATAAGTCATATTCGGGGCTCTCGACATGCAGATTTTTTCTCCTTTCTCTCTGTGACTGCGCCATGGCTGTTACTGCAGTAGGTAAGAATAAATAAAAAGAAAAAAAAAAAGCGCAAAGAAAAAGCACGAATCGGCTTTCTACACATATTTTAATTCGCTCGTGCTTGTAACAATATGCAGCAAGAAAGGCTGTTTTGCTGTGAGTTTAGTTTTTGGAGCTTCTCCCTCCGCCCTTCAATTACTTTACTGCGGACTGTGACTATTTCATTAGCGCCGAATAACGTTGAGTAGCAAAGCACACATAAAATAAATGAAAGCCATTAAAGGCCGGGAAATCGGCACCGCGGCGCGGGAAGCGGGTCCGGTGCGGGGAGCTGCCTGGCCTCCCCCTCCGCGCTCCTGGTTTATTTACATTCCACGGGCGCGGGTTCCTGAGCAATCTGACCCGCAGTGCGTGAGCAAAAATGAACCCAAAAAATATAAATAAGTAAATATAAACGAGTGCTTGGAGGTGCTCCTGGCTTGGAAATGGCAGCTTTCCACCTTCTTGCCTTCCTTCCTGCTATGTCTCTCTGTCTTTCTGCCACCCGCGGCCCCATATAAATTCACGTGTGGAAGAAGAGGAGCAGGGCATCCTTCGGCAGGTCCCCGCGTGAAGGAGATGCCACGTCAAGCATCTAAGCACCCACATCCATAACTCGGACTCGCTACCTCCTGAATTTGCTAATTATGGTGAGACCGTTATTAAAAGCAGTGGCGCTTATGGCTTTTGCGCCCTGAAATCCCACTTGCTGAGAAGGGAATATCTTCCCTTTCTTTTTTTTTCTTTTTTCTTTTTTTTTTTAATTTTTTTATGA